CCGCAGCAGCGGCTGCCGCGGCCGCGGGGCTGCCCGCGGCTCCCGAGCCCGGCGAGGCTGCAGCTCTGCTCCGCGCCAGCGTCGCGGTCGCTGCTCCGCGGGGCTGCTCAGGCCCTCCGAGCAAGTAGCAAGTTCCCCAATAATCCCTTAGAGCTAAAGTCTAGCTTTTCCCTGCATTCCATCTGAAATCGCCAGCGACTCCCTGGAAAACCCAAATGCCTGTTGGTTACACTTGTCCCTTTGGATCCCAGTGGRCAGAGGGGACACTGCAGGAATTTAGTGACAAAGTTGCAGGCACTGCAGCTGTGTCCGAGTGCTGCCGCGTTGGGCGCTGCTCCATCTGCTCCTGTCTCCCTGCCATTAGCTTAGGAGAGCGCAGGGGGAGAGGAGCCACGGAGTTAGGCACCCAGGCAGGCTCCGGCCGCGCTCCTTCCTTCCTCCTCCTCCTTGGCACGGCGGGGCTGGGGGCTGCAGGGAGCCGGGGTGCCACGCTCTGCCGGGTGCCCTTCTGAGCCCAGGCCGCTCCCAGAGCCCTGGCAATTTCCAGAGGGAAAATCCCACGCGTGTTTATTATGCTCCTGGACACGCCGGCCGTGCCGCGCGTTGCCTCGCTGCTCACCAGGGCTCCGTGTCAAGCCGCGGGGTGCCCGACTCGTCGCACAGACCCCGCCAGTGCTGCCGGGGCCGGAGCCGCGCGGGGCGCCGGGCACCACTTATCGCCCCGCGGCCAGCGGGGCCTGCCACCTTATCCGCCCGCGCCGTGCCCGCCGGGCGGCTGCGCCCGGTGAGATATCCGGAGCCMCGACGGGTCGCACGGGCACAGCAAGGCTCGCTGCAGCCAGGCCGGGAGTTACCAGTGAAACGAAACGCGTGTCTGCGGCTCCAGAGCCCAGGGCAGGCCCCGTTACCACAACCTTGGCGTTCCAGGGACATTTACCTATGCCGTTTCCAAAAGGAAAATGAAGCAAGTGCGTTCCACAAATGCAGACCTCGTAATGCTTTTCTTAAAATTTCTCAGCTCTTAATGTTTCTCATTTGTGTGACAGAGGCTGAGATAGTGAGGGCTCGTGGAGGGAGGACGTGTGGTCCTTGGAGCGGCAGCTGCTTGCGGGTTGTGGTTTTGCTGACACAGCTCCGCTGTGTTTGGCTTCTTGGTGACCCGGGCAGCTTGGTGGCGTTTTGTACCCTCTGGTCGTGGACTTAGGGGCTGGAATGCCRGGGACGGGGCGCTCGGGACGCAGCTCGTCCCTCCATTGCTGTGTTATAGCAGCTGTTGCAACGGTGTGAGCTGTGARCACTGCGTGGAAAGCAGACGAAAGGACAGGAATGAGAAACGAAAGGGTTTCCTCCCCCTCTTTTACCTATATTCCCACTTCACGTTGATATCCAGGATATATGACACAGTGCACACGGAGGGTAAAACAGTGCCGTCGCTGTCCTAGCTCCCCCTTTCCTCCCACTCTGCCGTTTACGCATTTTGTAAGGATATTTCTGTGGGAAACGGTGACACTCGGCTGCTGCACGATGCCGTGCCCGGCCCCCGAGCTGCTCTTCGCTCTGTGCCCGTCAGCGTGGGCTGGTCTGGAGCGCGGGGCCGGGGCTGCCGAAGCGGGAAGGCTCCGGAGGGCAATCCCGGAGCTCCCGCCACGTCGGCAGCGTGGGTGATGCAGGTGATGCAGGTGACTTGCACTGAAAAGCAAAGGTTTTTGAGGTAGTTGCTTGGGTTAAAATATTCCTGCAGGTGCCTTCCATGATCCTGCACGGTTGTGGTTCCTGCCAGGCTGTCTTTGCTACGTTGCCCTGTTTTGTTCAGATCCTGGGAACTCCTGAGCACCTCTGAGTATGTGGCTATTTTTCTGGTTTGGAAAAGTGGGAAATGAAGCATAAGGTTGAGAGGGGGAATTTGGGCTGTCCCGTCGCCTCTGTGCTGCCAGGGAGGAGCGAGGGGTGTTGGATGGAGGAGCTGCCCCTCCATCCACAGCAGGAATGGCCCCTTGGCAGCTTTGATTACCGGTCTCCCACCCTCACTGAGCACCTGGAGCAGGATCCCGGCAGAGCTGCGCCTGCCCTTGGCATTGCTGTGCCTGGGAGCTGGAAATATGAGCAGCCAGGAAAATAAATTCTTTATATATTCACACTGTATTGCTAGCCTTGTCCTTGCTGTCCCCCCATGTTTATTTTTAAAAAAATGCCTTAAAACCATTAATCAACAAAGAAGTATATCACTATTCAGGTCGCAGTGTTCCAGTGATTCATAATTAGACCTAAGTGTTTCAAGCTGCCTGCTCTTCCCTTTGGAAATGAGATGGAGGCATCTCTTGCCAGCTATCCCATTATAGAAGAGGCTCTGGTCCATGAGCGCAGGGGAAGGCTGGGATTCACTGGGGAATAACCTTATAATTTGCTTGTGGAAGGACATTCCTGGAGGCCGGCGCAGCCCTGTGCAGGGAATGGTTGCTCAGAGTCTGCATTTCTTCCTTTGCGTGATGAAACAGCTTTGTGTGAGACACCTGCATTCGAGTAGGAAATAACCCTGCCCCAGGCACTCTTCCCTTCTGATGTCATTCCATCTTTCTTTAGAGTCGGAATGTGATAAGGCTCAAAACGAGAAGCCTTAATAAAATAAGCGGCCTGATGAGTAATGCCCCTCGCCGGCCGGAGGAGCCCAAATTAGCATCATGTCCAGCCCTGCAGGAGGACGAGGCTGCTCCAAAGGCTCCGGGTGCCGGGCTGAAGTCAGCGGCACCCGGCTCCGCTCGCGGGGTCCGTCTTGGGAGACGGGACAGGGGGAGGAGGCGGCGTCCGGCCCCGCTGCTCCGGGATGTGGACGAGGCCTCGGCRCCTCCTCCTGCACCCAGAGCTGCCCCGAGGCCCCTGCGCTGCGGGAAACGTGTCGGGATGCGGGGTGTCTGYGAGCGCCGCAGGCCGGGGCTGCAGCCACAGGCCAGAGCTCATAGGCATCCAATTCCCGTCGGGATCGCAGCCACCTCTTAATTTCCTGTGCGAGAACCTCAGCAGGCCTGGAGACATCCATCAAGGGAGATAAAATGGGGTAGGTAGCACAAATGTAGCTGAGTGCCTATAAAATCTCTCTTTTTTTTTTTTTTTTTTCCAAAAAAAGTCAGATTAAAGAACACTGTACTGTTCCACAAAATAGTTTATATGTCAAAAAAACACAGAAATGCATTTACTAGAACTCACAGCAGCATTTGCTTTGTTTCGCAAAGATTAAATTGAAGAAAGACGTTCCAAAGACAAATCACATCCCAAAGCTTTCTTCGTATTAAAAGAGATGTTAATGATGAGTCCCCAAGGGAAAGATAACAGTTAATAACGTCGATATTTGACCTCAGCTTACACAAAAAAAGCTCTGTACTCCCTTGCCATTATTTGTGCTGCTGAATCTAAGGCTCGTGCACGTGGGCTCAGGCTCTGTGCTGGAAGCGGTGAAAGCACAGAATAAAAATGCTTCTTGTCCCGCTGCCAATCTTTAAGTTGATAATAAAAATGGATATATCTTATCCTTATAGCAGAGAAGCAAGACTAAAACAAACCTTGAAATAGGTGCACTAGTGCCTAAATTAAATCTCTTGTTAGGAAAGTAATCATCTCAGGCAAATGGGAGGAAATAAATGAACATTTAGTAATTTTTTAATACATGTTTTGCATAATATTAAATACTAATCTCATGAAAATAATCTTGACACGCTGTGGGTCCGTGCATGTCTAAAACGGTGAATGAGCAGAACATTTTTGAATAACCTATATAATCCTGTCGATTTTGAACCTGTGACATTAATAGACCTTTCATGTTGCAGCAGTTAAGGAAAATGTACTCTGGATTTTKTGTGCCTCCTGATGCGCAGGGGGATGTCAGTTTGAGTGTTTTCTTTCCTCTTTGGGGWGCATGAGCAGCGCGGCAGGTACAAAGCAAGGGGTGATGTTTCTTCCTGCTTGTGATGYCTACCGTGCTGGTAGTTGAAAATAGAGTCTTTGTCTTTCCGAGGGTCTCATCTTTAAAAATAATGTGGATAAATTAAAATATTTTAACTATAAATATAAAATATTTTAAAATATAAAATTGTCTGAATGCTTAAAATGCCACAAAAACGTTTGAATTTGGAAAATTTGCCCTCGAGTGCAAGGTTGCCGGTCTGTCTAATGGGTCCCAGCTGAGGTTGCTTGGCTGTAGCCTCTGGCTACTTGGAAAAGGTGGCTGGTAATGGAAAGGAGCCTTGTCTGTGCTAACAGGAAAGGGGCAGGCGAGCAGGAACCTGGGACATGGGGAGTTCTCATTGGGAAGGGGCTAAGGTGCATGGGCAATGTGGCAGTGCGGA